GTTTATTTTGGATGCGATTAATCGCAATTAATCGTTGCCCAGCGCTAAAATAAATAAATAAATAATTTAGTCTTGAAAAAATAAATGCATAAATTCATTTGAGATATTTGTTTTTGGAGAATATATACCGCATCTTGAATTAAGTGTACTTTACTTAGAATGCCCAGTTTTAAAGCAAACATCTAACAAAATTTTGTGAGCTTTAAGAAAAATGGCAATGGAGTAAGAACGATAAAATTAATTAATAATATATTCTCTGAAAAAATAAAATAAAAAGAATCTTATTATAAAGTGTAAAAAAGTCATTTAAAATATTTCTTACATAGTTTTGTTTGTCAAATAAATTATTTTATATTATTTTTTAATATAAAAACAAAAAATATATATAAAATATATAACCATCCTTCTTTAGTGCAAAAAATAAAACCATATATATAAAATGTAGTTTTATTTATTTATTTGTATTTTTTTTTGCAGTGATGAAGGATGTTTACATATGATACAGTGTGCATTAGATTTAAATTGTTCTCCTGCCTTTTGATTGATGTGTAGTACTGGTCAATAAAATCTGTTGCAAGCGGTAGCAGTTCCTCTTTTCTTCGGACTTCATCTGGTTTGCGACTGTGCTGGTTTGGCACCATAACAGAGCCTATACAAACTTGCTCAGTGCAGATCGGCACCTGCAAACAAAAAGCAACTAGCACAATAAGAAGACAGACTGTGCAAATCCAAACATGCTACATCACTCACGGAAATGTGCTACAGATAGCATTGTGCCTGTCTCACACATATCGTGTCTGTAGGAGTGTAACTGCAACAGCAGGCACAAGTTGAGACAGCATTTCTGCTGTATATCAGAACTGGAGGTCTATACAGAAAAATAAAGTGATGTCTGGGTGACTTCCTTTAATTAACACCATAAATTATAAAAAGTCATGAAATTTAAGGGGCAGCAAATTTGCATCCAAATACTATTTTTAGTGCTTTTTTCTAGCAATTTTAGGTTACTTGTAAAGCCTATATGCAAACGATATAAAAAAAAAGATGGCATTTTCTGGTAAGTTCATCCAGACCACTCATTTTAGTGTGATTTTAGCAAAGACGTAATATTTATAAAACCTTTTTTTTTTGGAGATTTTTGTCATTCCCCATTCAAATAGAGAGAGTTTTTTGTGCATTATGTACCTAAAAAATACCTGCCTGGGTAAGTTACCAAGATGGGTATCAGGTGGGTGAACCAGACTTGAGGTAAAAGGACTTTGGTTCAGTGTGCAACTCCAGCTCTACTTACAATGCACAATGATTCTTTCCGGCCCAAACTCACTGGGGGAAAAAAAAACGTGCCAGCGGTGACATTTCTGCAAAATTATGCTATTGTGATTCCGGCACATTTCTCACCACTTTCAAAG